AAAGTAAAGAGTGAATGATTTAGAAATCCTAAGTCAGGGCAAAGCTACACTTAGCACGCTGCATCGGCGCACTGATGCAGCTGCACTGCTGTAGTGCTGTAATGAAGAGGCTCTACCCCAACAGAAGAGAGCTCTCCCACTGGTGTAGTTAATCCACCTCCCCAAGAGGGGGTAGCTATGTCAATGGAAGAAGCTCTCCCGCCAACGTAGTGCTGTCTATGCGGGGTGTTAGGTCAGTATGACTATGTCGGTCAGCAGTGTGGATATTTCACACCCCTGAGCAACTTAGTTATACGTATAGGTCTGTAGTGTAGACCTGGCCTAAGACAATCAAGGGTTAAATTATAAACTAGAGTGCCCATGAGGATTGAGCTCTGGGAAAGGGGTGTGCTTTAGCTCCTGGGAAGTGTTGGGAGACCAGGGTGGCTGGACCACAGTGTCCCACTTCCAAGAAGGGTATCAGACAGAGAGTCCAAGCCCCAGGAGGTCTGTAACACTGGTATAAGAGTGCCTTTTTCTGCTTTAGCTTATGTTGCTTTGGAATTAGTTTAAGCTCAGCTGAAACAGGCCACTTTTATTTTGGAATAAGAGATGGAATTATATATATTATACTGGTATAACTGGAAATATTTCCCATGCAGGCAAACCCTTAGCGACGTAGGTACATGAGTCTATTGAAAGTCAATGGGTGTTTTTGACAACCCCACTTTATATATTTTACTTCACACTAGATAACAGCTCAAAGATGTTACTAAATGGTCCTTCTGTTGTGTAATATGTAATGATGCCACAATGAAATGTATGTATTATACTTTATGATGGCACCATTTGAATATAAAGACCTGATAAACAGAAACCAGGTGTTGATTGATAGTGTATGCATAAAACATATACATCAGATAACCCAATAAAATTCCATAGAGAGGGTTTATAAGAAATTGTAATGATTGTTTCTGTTGCAATATTATAGTGCAATATTTTCCATCACAGTCCACTATCTACCCATTCGCAATTAGAAAATATCTATCACCAAAATGCACAACAGTAGTTCCACCAGAATGCATGCTATTCATTCTTAGCTAAGGTAAATATCAAGATAGAAAAGAGATGGAAAAAAGCCTTACCCTCATCAAGTGAAGAAGAGTTACCCATGGTAAAGAGATGTAAATAGGAAAAGCTTGATGAAATATGAGTGGAAAGGAAAAGAAAGGCATCACTAAAAATGGGAGGGAAGGAAAAAAAAACAAGAAGTGAGGAGGAAAGGGGGGTGGTTTGTTTTTCATGTTCCTTACTGTAACTATAACTAAAATATTATATTTTGTAAGCGAGGTGGTAATAGCTGTAAAACCAGTCCTCCACTTTACTGAACTGAATTAAAAAGACAACCATACAATCAAACATATTCCATTAACTAGTATCTCACAGTTCATTATGACTGCAGATAAGCAATTTATTTTGCATACGTTGAGGGCTTGTTTTCACTAGCAAATTACATCAAGTTGGAATATGACCCTGAGGAGTCGTGTTAAGATGATCCTGACCACAACTTTTCAGTCTGTGTAGAGAGGGACACGACATTAATGGATAAACCCAAATTAGAGCCTAGGGTTTATCCATGACCATCTAACTCCATGTAGAACATGTGTCCCTGGCTATACAGACTGCAAAGTTGCGGTCAGCATCAACTTAGCTAACTTCTCAAGGTTACCTTCCAACTCAATACAATTTGCTAGTGAAGACGAGCCTCTTTGGCATCTATTTAAAATTAACTTTCTGACATACAACATTAACTGAGTGTACAATATCAATCTAGTGATGCTCAAGCAATGGCAACTCAGTTATAATTTGTGTGCTAATACTCAACACCTCTCTGACATAGAGTATAGCAGAACCTTACTGAGAGTGGGAGTGTACAGGTGCAGATTAGAAAGGCTTCAAAATTCCCAGTGCCAGGGGGCCAGGACAGTGCTGAAGCACCACCCTGTGCACTAGCACTTAGTAGCATCATAAAACCAAGCTAAGCCACCTATGATTGGCTACTGCTGGTGCTCCTCCTCCTGCTCCTGCACGGGGTTCTCAATGCCCCAGAACAGCTCTGTTTAGGTTAGCGTAGAAATGGAAAGTAACCCAGTGACCAAGATTACAGTGAAATGGGTATGCAAGAGCTGTTAGAAAGGCCCCTTAGGTTCCCTCCTCTTCAAAGACTACTCCTACAACAGCTACTGCCTCTGCTTGCATGCTTTCTACAGTACTGAGCCCTACGGTGGGTCTATGCTGAGAAGAAGATGGTACTTAGATCCACCTCCTTCCCACTTTATTGGAAGCAAAAGGGGAAAAGGAGGCAGCTGGGGGCTGTCCTCTCCCCTCAGAGCTCATCAGCATATAGGGTAAATCCTGCCTTAGTGACTACCTCTGAAGACAGACCACCTGTCACGTGCGACTACTTGCAGAGGCTGCAGAACACTCCCGCTCTCTGGTGTGTAAACCTTTGAAGAGAGACCACCTTTTACAAGTGACCACTTTTGCTAACGTCCATGAGTGATCGCTCTTGGCAGGTTTTACTGTATTATAAAGTTAAGGCAGTTTTGGCAATGTTCACTACCCTACATGCATCCCAATTTAATTCTCTCTGACCTCGTGCTGCCTGATCAGTCAGTGCTTTTAAATCCATCTCTCAATTCTCTAACAATTTATTAACAACAAAAGCTCACCAACTTACTGTCCCTTCCTCTCACGAATGATTAATAAATCTATAAAATAACAGTGATCCACATTAAACCCTGGGCAGGTAATCCCTCTCCATTGTAAGGAGCAGTCATTCACTGCAACTCATTTTAGCCTACAAAGTTTTAATCCATCACAGAACTTTGCCCTCTACAAGGTGGCTTTTTATTTCCTTGATCAATAGCTTTTTGAAAATCCAAGTAAATTATGATCACTGGGTCACCTTTCATTCCCAAGTTAATACTTTTTTCTATGAACTCTAATGGGCTAGAAAGACATATCTTGTAGGTGTCACACTCGTTTGACCCTATCAGGTTGTACTTATCTAAGTATACTTTACTTTATCCAATAAATTTATCTAAGTGTTCGCACTACTCTATCCTTAGACTCAGTTAGTTCTTTCCATTAAAGTTACTAGCAGCTCAGTGGCTAAAACCTTATGCAATCTTTTGCAAATGTGATTTGTTTATTTTTGTGTGCAGTGTCATTGGGTGATCTTTGAATTTGCTTCTGTTCTCCCTACCAGTCTCACCTCAAAAAATAAAAAGTCTGTAATGGTTCTGGAAGAGAACAGGAATTGTTCTTAAATAACATTTACTAGTTATCCCATGATACCATTTTTTTAAAATCTGTGCTTTTATCACATCGCACTCCTTGTTAACAGTGCTCGGATACTTATATCACACCATTATATGCTATTTGGTGGCACAGCATTTTTCCCTTCTAGAGGCCTACAGGCTTTGAACTAAATGTATAAACATTAATAATAAAAGCTGAAATTGATTGCATTTCCACATTATACTGTTGGCTTTAACATAGTATTAATCAGAAAACATCATAATGTATACTTGTAAAACAGTTCATGCAATTTAATTGCGATGTGGTTTGCTACATCAGGGATTGACAACCTTTGGCACGCGGCCAGTCAGGGCAATCCACTGGCGGCCGGGCCGGTTTGTTTACCTGCAGCATCCGCACAGCCCTCGGCCCGCGCCGCTTCCCGCAGCCCCCATTGGCCTGGAACGGCGAACTGCGGCCAGTGCAATTGGCCGAACCTGTGGACGCTGTAGGTAAACAAACTGTCCCGGCCCGCCAGAGGATTTCCCTGACGGGCTGCATGCCAAAGGTTACCGATCCCTGTGCTACGTTCACCTTCATTAAAAATAAAAATATATATACTGTTTATTCCTTTAGAACAAGCTTGCTATCATAGAACACACTGACAGCAACAAATTCAAAAAGCTGATACATGAATACTGAGAGCAATAATCAAGGTCATCTTCATAAAACTAAGAAAAATTATTTGTGTTCGCTTTTTATATTTTAAATTATATATAAAAGTTTTCCTTTCAAGTCTGGAGAAAAGGCAGACTGGTTGCTGAAAGTATAATATTCTACCAAAATGTGTTAATATTAATGTGTTCTATGAAAAAAACAAAACATCAAATTAACTTTATATGCTACCACTGAGTTCTAGTAATGTACATTCAGGGTACAAAGATTCTGCCTCTTACAAAAACATGCCTGCTGCCGCACAGTTGTTACTAAATTGAGTGACTGGAGCAGATGTCATTGGAATACTTCCACATACAAATGACTCTGTCCCTGGGTTTGCTTTCAGAAATAAACAAGAGTCAGAACACCTCACTTTCAATGCCTCAGTTACAACAACATCCCACGCCACAAACATCTCTTATGGATTTCAAATTTAGCAATGGAAAAAAAATAAGAAAAACAATCCAATCTTTAACTTTACTCCTCTTCAAGGTGACTCAGTGATTCAAATGTACGTGTTTTAGGGCTATTGATTATCATCTTAACTGCAGTCGAGTTCATGTTCATTTTAAAATTGGAACAGACACTTTCTTTAATACTTTTTTAGCCAAATTGATTTTTTTAAAGCAGTATCTATTTCCCTTGTATTTGAAATGTAAAGATTATTGGTAGCTACACCACAAATGTAAACCTTTAACACATTACAAACATATAATATGCATTAATCTTCACCTTACCAAAACATAGTACAAGTATTCATTTGGCCTTGCCAATTATTTCAGGCTTTTAACAATAAAATCAATTTCCCATGCCAAAAAATCTAAGTTTCATATTTCTGTGTTCTCTTAAAAAAAGTTTATGCAAGGAATGTGTGATTAACCTTGCATTTAAAATTCACTATGAACCCATTAACTGCTTCTTGGAGCAGAGTAAGTACCACTAAAATGCAGATATCTACACCATAACTTTGTTAGAGGAACAACAGAAACATGGCAACTTACCAACGTCACTGCTTCTTTCTGAGGAGTCCTTCTCCAAGGTTCCGGATACCGTACTGCCCACTAACTCTACTTTTGTACTATCATTCCTACAGTGAGAAAAAGAAGAGGAGACATTTATTAGAGTTTGTCTGTGGGTTACAATAAATTGCCAGCTTGCAATTAATAAAAAGAGGGGGGACGTGTTCCTCCTGTGTAGCACTGAGTTATAGCAACCTGTCACAGAGAGCCATCTCTAGTAAGCAGACATACTGCATGGATTAACCTTATCTCATTTCTCTTTAACACCTGTCAAAAAGCTATTTTAGACACAGTAGTGTCCTAAATTATTCCTCAAATGTTCACAGCATCTCAACATGAAAGAAATCTAAGGGCAAAGGGCTACCCTTCAACAGCTTATTCTTAGTTGCTTACAATTAATAATTGGTGCCTAGATATTATGGATAGGTGAACCAGAAATCTGCAGATAAATGGATGAAGAGAAAAAATGTCAAGCTGGGATAATGGGATCCAGCAGTGCTCTGTTCTGTTCACAGAAGCAGCTTCCTCACCAGGGTAAGTGCTTCCCACTAGAAAAAGAAGATTTTTGTACATATTACTCATCATTAGGCTATGAAATCCCTTTCTATGGTTTCAAGGATGTCTCCCAACCCAGGAACTGTAGAGCGAAAATTTCTTCACCATAGAAAAATGATAGAGGAATGGAGATATTTTATATAGGGGGGACTGAAATTTTGAAGAGCAACCAGGATTCAGCCATGAGTAACCCATGCAAAAGCTCACATACCACATACTAGTTAAGTTTATCGAAGCAATATGATCACTCAGACAGAATAAAATGGGATCAGCGGTAGGAGCACAAGTGGCTAAACTGCACAGGTCCCACACACAACATTCTTGTGAAAATTTACTATGAGATTTCAAGAGAGCTTTAGTTCACTTAATGGAATAAAAATCTGTATTATAGTCATGAAATATTTATCCCATTTCATGGCCAGCCTCACAATATTGTATAATTCCCACAATAATTGTCACCATTCATACATAAATAGTATTATCTATATAGAGTTATTGTGCACGTCTTTGCACACTGGGCAAAATGTGCCAAATATATAACTGTCCCTGCAACTAATGACCTAGATATTTAGTGTTTCTTAAAATAGCAGTATTAGCTATTAATAAATTAGAAATAAAGCATGATCTTCTAAAGACTTAGCATTTTGCTCCTTACTTTTCACTAGCAGATACAAGCACATACCACCTGTCTGTTTCTGGTGGTGTAATCTGGCAAAGGATGGTTTGGATTTAGTTAATGATGCCAGATTTATAAGCATGAACATGGCATTAGCTATTAGAACTGTTCAGACTAAAAATGCTGTAATGGATAAGAAGTCTGGAAAGTTTTGTTAAAAACTGGAAGAAATTACAAAAAAATGGATATACACAGATAACACTATTGTAGGTTAAAGAGAATACTTAAGAATGTAAAAAGACAAAAAAACCTAGTTGATGATCTAGAAAACAAGATCATATTATGAAATATTAAGTTGTCAGGACGTCCCTGTAGGTGAGGAAGCAGAAGAAATTAAGACATTCCTGTCACACTGGATTAGTAAAATGCTGATGATAAATGAGGATGTTCAGAATGATCTACTTGATCAATAAAATTCTCTCTCTTTTTTTAATCACTGGAAGAAATGTATAACAAAGTAACAGTGTCCTGGTGGTAATCCAAAAAACTATCTTCATTGTACCTACCCTGGACCTCTTTGCCCAGATGTATTAATGGCGAAGAAAGAATGCTAATTGGAAGTGTTCTGAGAAAGGGATGTATGCTGTTTGGGTTGGGGTTGTAAACTATTACGATTTTAGGGCTGAAGGATACTGAGGCTGACCTTGATGTTGGAACCTTAAAGGATACTTAACACAGCTGTCTTAAGGAATGCTAAATGTCCTTCAAGACTCCATATCTTAAAAGTGTTCCCAATGAACAGAATTTGTCCATCACACACACATACAAGTTTGTTATAGGGTTGTTCACGGGGTGCTAGAACAAATTTTATAGTGAAGGTGCTGAAAGTGTAAACCATGTATCTGGCTATTACTGATTCAAGTCCAGGGGGTGCTACCACATCTCCAGCACCCAAAGTTGCTCATACCTTAAATGCTCAATTGCTGGTACCGACCTTTTGCCATTTGTATAGCCTTCTGCTATTCCTTCAAAAAGCAACACCAATCCTTTATTGGTGTTGCTTAATCTCCAATAGATGAAAGTGAAAAATATTGCTTCAGATGAACATATCTCAGAAAAACAGGGTAAAACCCTGGTTTCAAAAGAGTCATTTGAACAGATAGTATGTGCCTTATCTACACTAGAAAATTGAACTGCTGGTAATTGGTGTAATTACCAATAGTGCAGCATGCCCAAATAAGCCATTATGTCTGGGGACAGGTCAGTTGCAGCTTTGCCCCACATCCAAACTTATTGCAGGGCCTTCTTGGTACCTAACCCACAGTCCTTGAAGCCTTACCCAGGCTCCAAAAGAAAATTATTTATTTAACTGAAGAAACTGATTTTTATTACAAAATATAAAAACAGCCCACTGAAAACCACGACATGTAAGACTCTTGACACACACTAGAATAATGATGCCATTGCTAACCAACAGCCACAGAAATCTAAGGGAAATTTTGTTAAAATCCACAGGATTTTTCCCTTAGAATCTGCAAAATTGCTGTAGGAGTTAAATTTTTTTTTAATTGTCTAATTGGCCTGAGTCTTACAGATCTCAGTATAAGATACCAGAAGGTACTTTCAAAATATTTATTAGCTTATTAAACTGAAATGATTATAAAAAGAAATAATCAACCAAATCCTGCAAGCTACATTTAACAAACACCATTTTTACCCTAATTTTCCAAGTTTCTGAATTATCCAAATAATTAAAAGACTATTTTTATAGATTTGATCATATGAATGTCTAGCCTTATTCCTATAAAATGTCCTTACAAATAGGCATAACAGCATACAAAAGTGACCCTGGATAACTCATTAGTTTAAATTAGCTGATAAAATAATGCGTGGTAAACAGTTAGCAATTGTGACATTTAAAGGGGCAATATCAACTTAAACACATTTTTCTGTACTTTTAAAAAAACAATTACTGTTACACATAACACCTACTCCCATAAGAGATTAGAGGATTACATATTTCTCTCTTTTTTCTGTGTTACAGTATGTACTGGTCAGCACTTTGAAGCCAGTTTCACTGTTTACCCTTCTGTAGGTCTTTCAAACAGCTAATGGAGAAACAAAAACATTCTTAATCATAGAAACATGAGATTGTATGTATTTATTAATTATTTTCTTTAGTGTTATGTTCAAGCACCTCCCATGTGTAGTCAGGTGGGGAGAGATAGATATGTCCCAAACACATCAGTAAGACTTCAAAACCTGGCAGGGGTCAAGGGCAGGTGTAGCATCTTAAATGACTTTTTTAATTGACTAGATTTCAATAAAGAGTGTCCTTTTATAGGCTATTATTAGACGAATGAAGGGAAGCATGATCTATGGGTCCTATTCTATTCAGGTTCTTAATCTGCCCTTATCAAGGTAGTATATGATCACATAAAGTTAAAGTGAAGGACTGAGAGCATCCTCTGTTCCCCCACTTGTAAAATGGAGTCAATGATACTCCAGTGTGTTGCAAAACTTAATCAATGCTTGTAAAGGACATTGGATAGCCACCGATGGAGGCCATAAATTATTTTTCAAGCAGCATTCTAGAGTAGTACCTTGAGTATGTCATTGTGTAATCAAAACACATTTTGTAACCCAGTTTGCAACACGCTTAGACTTGGACTACAATAGCCAGGGAAAATGGACTGAAATCAAATTAGCACCTTTCTAGGCACTACAGTGTTTAAAAGGGGAGCACACTGGCTAATATTATTCACTATTATATTTAACTACCCAGGAGAGTAGAAAGGGACACGCAGAGGTCAGAGCTAATCTAGAGTTGTTGGTCTTGTTGTAACTTGAGTTAACAGAGTGCCAATTAACTTGAGTTTAACTAACTTGATTGTACATGCTAATATAGACACTCCACAAACTTTACAGCAGGAATAAACATCTTCAAGTGTCTAATTGACAATCAATTCAATTGAGTTACAATAAAACCAAAAGCACTAGACTAGGTAAAACCAGTGTGACAGTGTGATGATACAGTATCTAACCAAAGAAAGTTAGAATTGGAAATGAACAGTACCATCAATAGAAAACCTACACTCTATGAATTTGCAACTTTTAACAATACCTTGTATGCGTCAGAGGCACAGCTGGTCTTTCTGGTCGTCTTGGGGGCAATGTACCAGGTCTATTCAGAGAGTTCGTTTTTGGTGGTCGAGGTTTCTTCGGAGGTATAGCAGGGACTGAAGGCTTGTGCAAATCTACCAGTTTTTGCTCTCTTTCTGGTCTTTCTTTAAATCAATTTCCCCCCCAAAAAGAACAAAGATCTTATTAAGTGGAATTCACTGGCACACATTGATTTACAATGTACAGAAGCTATGAATGTTAGTTAAACCACATCTAAGAAATAAGTCTGCATTCTTCACTGTTCTGCCTTACTTCACTCTTTCCTGAGAATAAAATGTTTATACCAGTTTTGGGCTAAATACATTTCAATAGTTTGAATTCGCATTAAACCTGCTCTTGGCTAACGTGCAGACAGTGTCTGAATCTGAGTGTAATTTCTGATTTTAATCATTAAAAAAATTTATTGATTATTTAAATAACTATTAAAATAAGAAGACAAGAGAATTACACATCATACAGAAACATTTCCCCCAAGCCTGCCTTCATACTAATTTTTACTCTGTGAGATAATACTCAGTTAGAAGAGCACAAAAATAAGGATAATTTTGTGTGTTCTTAATGCTCAGCTGAAACATGCAAATATCTTCTTTTGAAAATGTATTCTGCAGGAATTTAATACAAATATACTTAAATGAAAAATTAATCAGCTTAAGAAACTAGGGTCAAAATATAACAACTTGGGGGCCAACATTTAGACAGCCAGATACATATTTAGGCATCTAAATAGAAGTGGCCTGAAATTTTTTTTTTTTTTTTTTTACAAATTTGGGCAATTGGAGCCACAGGAAGTCAGTACCTCTCAAAAATGGGCTTAAATATGGATAAATACCTAATATTTGGGATTCCAAGTTTCAAAAGTGGTTAGTTTGCATTTAAACTCATTACTTTTCATAGGAAATTCTACAGTCTTTAACATGACAATGCTTGCTATTGCTAGGATGTATATAGAGCACATACAAACTGCTTGCATGGTCCCATTATAAAATATGCTGTAAATGCATATTGTAAAATGTAGCTGAACACTTTTACCACTGTATATTACTTGGATGAAACCTTGGCTCCATTGAAGTCAGTGGCAAAATTCTCACCCCTTGTCTCTCATAATATACCAAACCCATCAGTGACAAGATGGTCTACAGTATGTTGTGAATATACAGAGGAATCCCTATGGCATACATTTAAGAATATTACATAGAGCCAGGCTACCTCTTCATAGATTTTAGGATACTAGGTTTGAAGAAATCATGGACCACAAAAACAGACATTGGCAATTTGTCTTTGTTGATAATACTAGCAGGAAAAAAAATTAAATAAATTGGCAACATAAAAATGTGTTCAAAGGTCTAATTTCAACTCACAAAAGCAGTGGCATTCAAGCCCTGGAGACCAATTTATTGCTGTGTTGTCTAAGTGATGGAAAATATTATAAACCATTTGTATTTCATAGGCGTATTTGAATGGGCTAGTGGTTTAGGTTAAGGATAGTGTCAGCCAAGTTATAAAATTTATAAAAAGAAAAAAAAATTTGAAGGGCATAGGCTATGTGCCATTAGAGTAAGTTATGGCATATCATTAGTCAACTCTCATGTGTACAGAAAAATTAATATAGAGAGCATAATCGAAGACAAAAGATCTATATTAGGTCATCTTGCTCACCCGGCAGAGAACTATTGTTCACTACAAAATACTCTTTATCCAGTATACTTTTACATGACTCAGGCAATGAGTCTTCCACACCTTCTCTTGGAAGTTACTCCACAATCTAGAAGATCTCATAATTTTTATTCGATTTGCTCCTGTTGTTATTATTAATTATTATTATTATTATTTACTATTTGCACTGTGGTGACAAGCAGGAGCCTCACTCATGGACCAAAACCCCATTGTGTTAGTCAAGATAATGTACAAACACATAACAAAAAAGAAGGTTATAATTATATTTATATTATATAATTATAATTATATTCTTGCAACCCACTACCAAATCCTCTTCTTTTTTGGTGTTCCATAGAACCTAGAGATAGTTCCTATCTCCTCTTATTCATTGACTAGCCAAGCTATAGATATTTATTTTTTGGTAGTGTAATATCTTGTAATTCTCATTGTTTTTATACTTGACTGTATAACTCAAAACTGAAATTGAAAAACATACTATATCATTGTTAGGATGTACAAGCTAGCTGCTATTTTCACTCCATCACTCTCTTTTCTTTTTTTCTATGGCCTGTATAGTTTGCCATGTTATTAGTACTGTATGGAGAGCTAATGGGGTTATTACATACTACAAAGCTTGTACAGTAAAGTTGTCATCCTAATGATTCTGATGTGACATAATTACATCAAAACTGAAGTGCATTTTTAGATATATGTGTAAAATGACATTAAGACTTTAGCTGTGCTGTCTCTTGTATCAAGAGCCCTCTTTATATTAATAACAATACTCAGGGGGCTACATAAACCATTTCAAACAGAACGCAAGGAAAACCAAACAATCAGTATAAAAAGAGATAAAGTATTTAAGAAGCCAAGTGATAGTGTGTCATTAAAATTTAACACTCTCTGAAAAAATAGTGTGTTCTGATAAATTTTTTTAAAAGTAAGTAGAGATGAGCTAAGACAGCTATCTGAGGTGAGTGAATTCTACACCCAGCCTGTGTCTGTACAACTATTTTTCTTAAAGTTTCCCACCATTGGAACTTCACCAGTGGTAGCAACAGGAGGAGCACCAGTGTAGATGGACCCTCAGTGTTTTAACCATTCTGTCATCTAACTCTACTCAAAGCAGGTCTAGAAAGTAACATATCATGGTTAAAATAGGCCATGTCTACACTAGAGAGCTTACAGTGGCACAGCTGTACTGATGTACCTGCACTGCTGTAAGAACTCTAGTGTACCCACTCTACGCCAATGGGAGAGAGAGCTCTCCTGTCGACATAATTAATCCACCCCCAACAAGTGGTGGTAGCTAAATCGGTGGGAGAAGCTCTGCCCATACAACGCTTATGTCGGTGTAACTTATGTTTCTCTGGAGTGTGTTTTTTCCACTCGTGACATTCAGCATCTGGCTACTTCGCCTAATATATGCCACAGAGGCATAACAAGGAATTAAATACATTCCATAGCCTGTTTAGTAATTCTAGAAATGGCCATGGAAAGCTAAAAAAAGCCAAGTCTCCTAGCCAAAGTCCAATATAAGATACTATAGGTGCAAATCTATAAACAGTTGCATAATATCACTGCAATAGATACAATGCAATATCTACTAAACCCAGTATGATTCCCTTATTCTGGTCCCAGAAATTACGCCAGAAACAATTATAGGATTCTTGCAAAATCAATATAATCACATATGTATGAGAGTTGGAAGTAAATATCCACAGAATACACTTAATTAAATCTATCTACTGACTGGAAAATGAAAACTTGAATCAACCTCCTTCTCTGTTCATCACTCTGCAAACAGCAGACATAGAAGCACATTTCATACCTTTCTCCTCTGTTCGATTAGGAAGACATTCTGGCCTTTCAGGAGGTACCTTTTTGATTTCATGTTTTCTGTCTGTGGTACCTGTCAAAGAAAGGCAAATTCATGATTCTGCAAAAAGATATCTGCAAGCAAACCAAGCAAAAGATATATATTTAAATTTGCCCCCCTTTATTTTGATTTTTTGATTCCCCAATTTTGAAATTTTCATGCTTAAACTAAGCCCATTTTCAATTAAAATTATTTACGTCACAAAAGCATGCAAAATGTCATGACTGTGTAGTCTTTGCAGCCAAGTTACATGATTTCCAATACATCTCAGGAGAGCAGGCACTTGCAAAATGAAATTGCAGAATATTTTGTGAAATGTGCACACAATTGTCCCACTCCAAATATCAAGGAGTCAGAAAATTAAATTTTACAATCCTTTAACTCTGTATCATTGTTAGACTCAAAAATAATTCAATGGGGAGGAAAGTTCAGTAGAGTAAGTCAATTAAATGGGACTTTTTGATGCTAAGAAAATAATTCCACATAGTTGGATATCCAATTTATTAATTTAGTTGCTGTCTGCATAATAATACTTAGCACAAATAAAGCACTGTTTGTGTTTAAAAGTAGTTTTGAACATGATTCACAGATAAAGGGGGTATATATACTAGGGTTCTTTTACCCAACAGTTTTTTATTCTTATTCCCAGCAGTTCATTTCCACAAATGTTAGCAATCGTAGGCGCACAAGCAAAGACAGTGCTCTGGGTGGTAGCTGGCATTTTAAAAGAATGCCTTGCCTATAGCTGCTCAGGACAAGTCTATGCCACACAGTGTTCAAAATAATGGTGACCACCAGCATCTTGCCTACAATAGCCACCCCACAGTTGCTATCAGAGAGGAGATGAACCAATAGTAGCAAGTTTTAGCAAAATTTTCCTGGTGTAGACAAGATTTCGTTCTAGTCCCTAGACAAATTTTATAAGTAGGGTCCAACCAAATTCATGGTCCATTTTGGTCAATTTCATGGTCATAGGATTTTAAAAATAATAAATTTCATGATTTCAGATATTTAAATCTGAAATTCCACAGTGTTGTAACTGTAGAAGTCCTGACCCAAAAGAGGGTTGTGTGTGTGTGTGTGTGTGGGAGGGGGGTTTGCAAGGTTATTGTAGGGAGTCATGGTATTGCCACCTTTACTTCTGCACTGCCTTCAGAACTGGGGCCTTGGCCAGCAGCTGCTGCTCTCTGGCCACCCAGCTCTGAAGGCAGTACAATAACCTTGCAACCCCCAGTATGAGAAATGCTGGTCTCCCCCATGAAATCTGTGTAGTATAGGGTAAAAGAACACAAAAGACCAGATTTCACAGGGGAGACCAGATTTCACGGTTCGTGACGCATTTTTCACGGCCATGAATTTGGTAGGGCCCTATTTATAAGAATTATTATAACAGATTTTGGCTTCATTCCACTAGCCAACTACAAGGTGTTACAACCATTTTAGCTTAGCAGTGTTTAAAAGGGCTACATAACACTATTTTGTTCAGTCTGTTTCACTGTGTGTTATGCAGCACTCAAGCACATTTACATTTTCTGAATATGGCAATACAATACTTGCAGCTGGTCCCTAACACTCACTACTCATCAATGGTAATGGCCCCTCATTAGTGGTGATTACTGGCCATTGTTTCTCTGTAACTGCTCTATTCTACATGCAACACTTGTATATCTTATCATGCCCATAAGTATTACTGAACTGACAGACACACACATCACCCTTTTACACCACATAGAGGAAGACACTACTGCTAGCCTCCCAATTACAGTCACTCTAAACTCATGGGTTATACAAGTCGAATATCCTGAGAAACTTAAGTAGCGACACAGGACTTTAAACGTGTGTGTGTGTGCGCGCGCATTCAGCTACAATGTGGGTTGCAGCTGACCAAGGTTTCGAAGCACGATTACCACACAGTCTCATCTCAAGCTCAGTTTGGGGATATAGTTACGGTCCCAATTATACTACAATACAAAGTAGAACCAGGCTTTAATTTCTAATATAGACAAAGGCTAATTCTAAACATAGAATCATAGAAGAATTAGGGTTGGAAGGGACCTCAGGAGGTCATCTAGTCCAACCCCCTGCTCAAAGCAGGACCAACCCCAATTAAATCATCCCAGCTAGGGCTTTGTCAAGCCAGGCCTTAAAAACCTCTAAGGATGGAAATTCCACCACCTCCCTAGGTAACCCATTCCACTTCTTCACCACCCTCCTAGTGAAACAGTTTTTCCTAATATCCAACCTAGACCTCCCCCACTGCAACTTGAGACCATTGCTCCTTGTTCTGTCATCTGCCACCACTGAGAACAGCCTAGCTCAATCCTCTTTGGAACCCCCCTTCAGGTAGTTGAAGGCGGCTATCAAATCCCCCCTCACTCTTCTCTTCTGTAGACTAAATAAGCCCAGTTCCCTCAGCCTCTCCTCGTAAGTCATGTGCCCCAGCCCCCTTGATAATTTTTGTTGCCCTCCGTCTCTCTCCAATTTGTCCACGTCCTTTCTGTAGTGGGGGGCCCAAAACTGCACGCAATACTCCAGATGTGGCCTCATCAGTGCCGAATAGAGGGGAATAATCACTTTCCTCGATCTGCTGGCAATGCTTCTACTAATGCAGTCCAATATGCCGTTAGCCTTCTTGGCAACGAGAGCACACTGTTGACTCATATCCAGCTTCTCGTCCACTGTAATCCCCAGGTCCTTTTCTGCAGAACTGCCACTTAGCCAGTTGGTCCCCAGCCTGTAGCAGTGCATGGGATTCTTCCATCCTAAGTGCAGGACTGCACTTGTCCTTGTTGAACCTCATCAGATTTCTTTTGGCTCAATCCTCCAATTTGTCTAGGTCACTCTGGACCCTATCACTACCCTCCAATGTATCTACCTCTCCCCACAATTTAGTGTCATCCGCAAACTTGCTGAGAGTGCAATCCATCCCATCATCCAGATCATTAATGAAGATGTTGAACAAAACCGGCCCCGACCCCTGGGGCACTCCGCTTGATACCGGCTGCCAACTAGACATTGAGTTGTTGATCACTACCGGTTGAACCCGATGATCTAGCCAGCTTTCTATCCACCTTATAGTCCATTCATCCAATCCATACTTTTTTATCTTGCTGGCAAGAATACTGTGGGAGACCATACAAAAAGCTTTGCTAAAATCAAGAAATATCAAGTCCACTGCTTTCCCCATATCCACAGAGCCAGTTATATCATCACAGAAGGCAATCAAGTTGGTCAGGCATGACTTGTCCTTGGTGAACCCATGCTGACTGTTCCTGATCACCTTCCTCTCCTCCAAGTGCTTCAAAATGGATTCCTTAAGGATCTGCTCCATGATTTTTCCAGGGACTGAGGTGAGGCTGACCAGTCTGTATTCTCATGTTAATTATGCTTCTATCCTGTGCTATTTTTCTATGCTCAGTAAAAGAATACATTGATTTTTAATTATTTAGCATGCAACTGATAGTTCTGGATCTAATTTTTCATATCATGTCTTACCAGGTATTCAAAACCATCAATAGCAGAATCAGCCTCATGCTAAGACTGGTAAAATACAGTACATGTTGGTAAAATCGTGATTTCACACTGTAGTTGGTGGCAGGAGATATTTATTCATAACAACAAGTACAGCATTCTTCAGCCTTGAAATGTCGTATAGACATTACCTAAACATTCACAGACTTCTTGCGCATACATAGCATGGTCCAGTCAATAGACTGGGTTTGGAACTAGGAACCTGAAACACCTGAGTTTTCGTCTTTGGCTTTTGCTCCCAACTCTAATGGCCTTGAGCAAGTCATTTAATTTCTCCGCGCTTCCATTTTCACTTTGAAAAGGAGCGCATAATATCTACCTCTCTTGCAGAGCTATTGTGAAGACTAAGTAGCTCGTGCTTTGAGTGTGCAAAGGGCTATATACAGGCTAAAATTATTATTCTCCCCATTTTACAAAAGGGAAACCTGAAGCAGAGATATAAACAGAAATGTAATCTTTTAAAGGGTTTTTCCAAAACATAGCCTTGATTATAATTTCATTAGTGGATAAAGCATGGCTTATTTTTTTTTAAAACTGCAACCACCACTAGATGGCAAAGTTATACTGCTCTCAGTGAGATCATCTGAATAACAAAGAATCTGAAAATTAAATCTCTTTTTAAGTGTCTCAAGACAAAGAAGTGAACTATTGGCATGATTACACAAATAGAAACAACTGCTTGATTGAGTTAAATTTAAATTATAGTCCCTTGATTCACAATCAGATACACTAGTGAACTGAAACATAAACTTGGAACAGATAACAATAGGTAGAAAACCCTGACTAGACTGGCTATGTCTATACTTGCTTATTTACCCTAAAATTTCCCAATGGTGGTAAGTAACGGTGGGAGTGTGATTGTAGAGAAGCCACTGGATTTTTAACCAAGAGGTGCAGAATAGAAAACAGTGATTAAAGTCCTTTGTCCTCACTAGTGCCTGCACCATTGTGACAACAACTGGGAAATTTTAGGGGGAAAACACTAGTGCAGACAAGGCCTTTGAGACCATCCCATTCATTCTGAGTTGTTATTATGACCTAAACACAACTTGAATTCTGTCTTTAAGGCTAAAATTTTCAAAAGCACTTTAAGAAACTTAGTTGCATATGTTCCACTGAAATATAGTCACTTCTAAAAATTTTACCCTAAGGTCTTATCTACAGAGGTAAAACTGGTTTTGATTAACTGGGTTTGATCATGGTTCATTCTAACATGGTTTAAACACAGTTTGCTTACCCAGAGAATAATATGAATATGTAATTCTTGTTTGTTCTCCCTAACAGCCTCCTTTGATTTAACTCTGTATAGTCAGACAGAATATCATCAAGCAGGTAAAGTGAAGTGAAGTACATATAATATTCATAAAAATAATCCAGATATCTTCCTCATTCTTCACAGCAGGGATAAGAGTTTTAAAAACATGTTTAAACCCACATGTTTCAACATGATGATGCCTAATCTACACTGGGCAGGTAAATCATATTTGTGTTGTGTTACCATGAACTATAGTTAACTCCAGTTCAGCTGCAGTAGTATGGTTTTGGACCTAGCCATTGTAAAAATGCAGACATACCAGGGAACTTGTTTACAACACAGGTTGTCCCCTAAATCAGTTTCAACATGATTCCATGGTTAATAGTGTACTTGAGCCTAACTATAAAATATGGATAAACAAGAAACTGAAACTATGGGATTGATCCTGCAACTGGATCTACACATTTGGACCCCTGCATGCATGCAGATCCAGTTTCAGGAGTGGGGCCTAAGTTGCAAATGGACAGGAAAAAGGCCATATATCTCTAGTGTAGATGGGTCTTACAGGTGAAAGGTTAATAAACTTTCCTACTACAGTTTATATTCCCTAACATTATGACACTGACCTTGCAAAAATGTATGCATGTGCTTAACTTTATGCACTACCACAATTTGTTTTAAATTCCAAGAACAAAAGTTTCATGTTTAGTATAAACTGTTTGAAATGAACCATAATATTTAAGATAAATCTTCTAATGTATTATTTTCAAATAAGAATTGGCATGTGTCCTCTTTCAGTTCACTCACAATCTATTCAGAAAGCAGATCACAATCTTTCATGGTTGTGTAATCTTTTGCATCTTGTATCCAATCTACTGTTAGTGATTGAGACTCTTCCTGTATATTGGCTTTGATACTGATGACATCCATACAAATTTGAAAATACACGTGCTCTGTATGGAATGTGTTTCACTGATGTATACGAGCAACAACACCTTACAACAACACCTTACCTGACCCTTGTTTGATGACAGGAGCTGATGGAGGTGGTGGTTTCTTAGGTCTCTAAAATCAAGGAAAAGCAGAAAAGAGATTGCTTGTAAACACTTGAACTCATAGAAAGATTTGATGTAATCAGATACTACTTTACAATGAAAATTACATGTCTTCGGATTCCAGACCTGTCAATCACACATTTCACAAGTACTAAATTCAATTAAAAGATTTTCAAGGAAGAAAATGTAATTGAGAAATAATATGCCACTTTTACTATTTTTATACTTGAAATGTCTTTTAGATAAAAGCTCAGCATTAAGTGGCTTACAATCACTGAAAACAATGGCCTTTTGTACACTGAAGTAGCCTTTGCAATTAAGACATAATCTTGTAAATATCCAAAGCCATTTTGAAAAACGTGTATAGGCAATGCAGGAGCTGAAATATGTTTCTTACACTAAGTTGAAGCATAAAAGCAGAACACAGGAAATACTCTAGAGTTTACATTTTGTCATTTGCCAATATATGGTTGTTATCCCATTTGTGAAGAACATCTTCAAGCACAGTTATTAAGGCTTCCCATGTCTGATTAAATGAAGCTAATTATTCACATCAACAGCCTATTATTCATCATTTACTTTTATTTTCTCTGCTATCACCATCCTTCCTAACAGGACTGCAACACTTTACATGTTTCACAAATACGATCACTGAAATGGTTCCAGATCTGTTTTTCTTCTCTATTATGTAGATTAGCTGCGGGTGGTTTTTCCTTTTGTGCGTGTGTGCGCGCGCACACCATACTGACAGATGCTGTAAATGCCTTGGAGTGAATGCAAAATCAAACAGGGCATATGACACACTAATTTAACTCCCACACTTAGAATAAAAGGTCAAAGCTATTGAGTTAAAACTCTTCTAATAAAAAATGTGTGCATGCGTGTGTGTGTGTGTGTATATATATATATATGTTTTTATTAGAGAGGTGTTAGATAGAGAGATAGATAGAGGGGCGGCTCCAGGCACCAGCGCACCAAGTGCGTGCCTGGGGCGGCAAGCCGCGGGGGGCGGCCTGCCGGTCACCGTGAAGGCGGCAGTCAGGCTGCCTTTGGCAGCATGCCTGCGGGAGGTCCGCCGGTCCTGCAGCAATTCGGCGGCGGGTACGCCGAAGGCGCGGGACCAGCGGACCTCCCGCAGGCATGCCGCCGAATCCATGGGACTGGGGACCTCCCACAGGCATGCCGCCGAATCCGCGTTACCAGTGGACCTCCCGCAGGCATGCCGCCGAAAGCCGCCTGACTGCCGTGCTTGGGGCGGCAAAATACATAGAGCCGCCCCTGGATGGATGGATAGATAGATAGATATAAAACACACTCTCTCTCTCTCTCTCTATGGTATTCCTCATTCCTCAGGATGACTCTATTGTTCCGCTTAATCACTTGCAACCTAATGGCCACTATCTTCTTGACTGAGGAACAATGATCAGGACACCCTTTATTATAGGTGGGGCTGGTAGCACTGCTTACTAAGTTTGCCTGATACTACTCATTATAAGCCTGTGTTTTCAGTTGCTTATAACTTTCCAGAAATGTAATCCTTTTGGCTGAAATTGTCCTTGCTGGGTGTCTGCCTCAGGCTGAATTTTTGGGGGGAAAGTTCAACAATTTCCCCCCCAAATTTAGCCAAGTTACAAGCCTTTGAAATTAAAATTACAGTTCACATGTGCTCAGTAAAGATTTACTAGGGCTAAATATCTACAATCTCTGAAGATCCCATTCTCACTGAGTATGGTCTATCCCCTCACACCTCTCACAGATGCACCATCCTCACAGAGTGACTGAGCATGTTCCAGCCCAAGGCTAAGGGGGGTTCAAAGCCTTTCCCTGTAGTGGCTGTTCTGGGCCAGGGTGAGGCTGGACACTGGAGCTGAGAGCAGGGAGCCTGCCTCTCCCGTGCTTTCACTGCTGGCCTCTTCTCCTCCTCCCCCCCCCCCCCAAGCTGATGCCCAAGCAGTGTGGAAGAGGAAGCCATCTGATTCTAATACAGTGGGAATAAAAGCAGGGAGAGAAAGAAGTACATTGGGACACAGAGTCTGGTAAGACTGGGACTAGAGGGGAAGGGAGAGAAACTTTGATTGGGAGGTGGAAGGGGGAGATTGGGACTGTCTAGACAAGAACCCACTGGGAGCCAGTGGCAGCAGGAGCAGACTGTGATTGGTTAAATGGAGGCAGTTGGGAGCTGGGATTGGTTGGGCCAGGAGACTGGGAGTGGGAACTGGAGGGACTTGGAGTCAGTTGGTTGCGGGACGGGGGAGGACACAGATTGGATGAGAAAATGGGGGAGAGCAAAAAGTGGAACTGGATAGGCAAAGAGACCAGAACAAAGAATGGAGGTTGGCTGAGTCCAAGACTGGCTGAAGAGCCTGAGGATGGAGCCTGTGACTAGGGGCTAGGGTCAGGGGAGTGATGGGAGGAAACAGATCAGACAAATAGCTGAGAAGAGGAAACGGGGACTGGCTGGAAAGGAGAGTGGGACTGCAAGTTAGGGCAGGGAGCAGACTGGGACTTGGCCCTGAGCCAGAAGGGGAGACCAGGACTTGCTGGGCAAGGAGTCTGAGACTGGGATGAGAAGCCTGAGCAGTGGAGACTCGTACTGAAAATGTATCAGCAAAGGGGTCTGGAACTAAGGCAGGAGCCAAGGATGGGAAAGAAACAGGAGTGGCACAGGGACTGGTTGAAAGGGACAAGACAGAAGGGCTCAAGCTTGGAAGTCTGCGCCAACAGAGGCGGATTAAGATTTACTGGGGCCCTGGGCACAAATAACTTTTGGGCCCCCCCCCAGTCACCTCGCCCTGGGTCCCTGCCCCGTGCTCCTCCTCTCCCCATTCCCATTCTCTTCCCCCCACCCCCACCTCCCTTCCCCACTGCCTCTCCCCCCACCCCACCCCCTTCCCCATATTCCTTTCCCCACTCCTTCTTCCCCCCACTCCCTTCCCCCCTTCCCCACTCCCTCTTCTCCCCACCCCCTTCCCCTGCCCTTCCCCATTCCCCCACTCCCTCTTCCCCCTCCCTTCCCCATACCCCTTTCCCCACTCCCTTGCATATTTTTTTCAAGGGTCTCTGCCTCTTCTAGAAATCACTTTCTTTTCATTACCAGGCCTTATGTTCTTTTCCAGGCTATCCACTCTGATGTGGAATGTCATTTTACTCCGTGAAAGTGTTTTTGTTGCTCTCACAAGAGCCATAAATTCCACCTTCATCTTCAATAGTTATGCTAGCTTCTGAGAGTTGTTTTGTGATTTCTTTATCAAGGTTTCCAAGTTATTTAATCTGGCATCCAATTTTACCGTCAGTCCTTGAGAGAGAGTGTCTCTGAGTCTTGATTTTATCATTGATGGCTTACATAATAATCACTCTGAACTATAAATGAAGAGCCTGATTAGAAGCTCACAGTATCACCCTGATGACAGAGGAGTTTCCTGAAAATGGGGTAGTCTCATTAGAGAGGAGGAATCTACCAAGTTCTCTCAGGAAGTGTGTTAGGATTTCTAAGTGGTGTTAGGGAAATAAATAACTTTGCCTATTTTAAAATAGGCAAAATAATTTTTCCCACAGTTTAAAAAAAAAATTAATGGATTCTGACAAAGCTCAAGCGAATATGTCATTAAACAAGCTGAGCTTTCTCCTTTCAAACACATGCTAGAATTTCACCCTTTTCTTTCTGGAAGAGTGTTTTAAATTATGGCTGCTGGCAAGAGAAAATGACATCTGTCTAAAAGCAGTTGGTAGACTAATGTTTCATACTGTATCTCACACACTGTAGACATGTTAATGATTCTGATCATCATTACACCATAAAAACTGAGCAAATTACACCATGATCTCCAGTCATTCTGTCTCACATAAACTGACAATGTGGCACAGAGGGCTTTAAAAACAAGGTAGTAGAGGTTGGATGACTGGTTTTATGGGCCAGCAAAATACCTTCCAAGAAATTACACAATATGGCCTCAAGCTATGAACAATCCAATCATAGATGCTGCTGCTGTTATCCAGCAATGCTACTTTCCCTAACCATTTTTTTTAATTTTTTGCAAGTGTAACTTGTATTGTATGAATCAGAGAAATCCAGAGCAGAATTTCATCTCAAATTTTATCCTATATGATAGAGCAAACCAGAGGGAAATAATTACACTTACCTCTTTTTCAAAATCAGAGGGAAGAAGCTTGACAAAGTTATCTGGAAACACTCCACGCCTGCCATTGAGTTCTCCTTCCCACCAGCCTGCATCAATGCAATCCTACAATACATTAAAATAAAATGTCAAAAATTAAATGTGCACATATGATGTACAGATTTATGGGTTGAAAGGCAGTTTGCCATAACCTTCTGCCTTTTCACTACAGCAGGACAATTTTCTAGAGTTTCAGGTACACAGAACACTCTCCTAAATGAAAGCTACAATAATCATCGTGGCTCATGTTGTGATGTGGAATAAGGAGGAAAGAACAATAAATGTAAGTGCTTAATCAAGACTGGCTGGGCTTAAAGTGAAACGTTACCATTTAATCCATTAAACCAATAAGGCCTTTTGGCAGGTATGATATTACTTCTCTCTGATTTCATTTTAGTAAAATAAAATGATTTTATTAAACAAATACATTTTAGAATGCATTCTAAGCATTAACAAGACTCCTTTATTTTAATACTAAGGCTCTGAAATCTAAAACCTCTTCAAAGAGACCTTGACACACTAATAACTTTTACAATGATTACATTTGATTACAAGTCCATTTGAACCATTATATGACAATTCATTCTTATTACCACCAATCATTGATTAGCAGTATTTTTACATCTACCCAGAAACTTCTTTAAGGCATCACCATTGTCTGCAGCATTCTGTGAATAGCACAAATTAGTGTGTATAACAAAAAAATTCTATTAGGGTGGTGACAACAAAAACATTGAGTTATGACATTATTAGATGACAGGCTGGAGGCACAGGCTAATTCTAAATAAAAAAAGAGAATTAAGTATCTTGGTAAGGAACCATAATAGTGAAATAGAAAAAAACCTGATAACTTAAGGTTTTTCATTATTATTTATGATTAATTCTCTTTATTATTATTATAACCAGAGATGGCACACACTGTTGTTCAGCTGCTTATAGCTTTGCCAAACGAAACGGTTCAGACTGAAATTTTCCATGCTGGGTATCTGCCTCAAGCTGAATTTTATTTGAAAGTTTCAGCTAAAATGGTTCAGTCATTAAAAAAACGACATTGGGGAAATATGTTGTTTTGCTCATATTGAAAAATTTATTACAGCCATTGGATTGAGAACCTCTATCACCCCCATGTTTTGGAGCAAGGGCTTGACATTTGGCAAGGGGTTGCCCTAGTGCCAGGGAGATACACCTCTACCCCGATATAACGCGACCCGATATAACACGAATCGGATATAACGCGGTAAAGCAGCGCTCTTGGGGGGCAGGGCTGTGCACTCCGGCGGATCAAAGCAAGTTCGATATAACGCGGTTTCACATATACCGTGGTAAGATTTTTTGGCTCCCGAGGACAGCATTATATCGGGGTAGAGGTGTATATGCCTTTTGCTGACCCTGTGAATATTCAACCACATTTGCCCACATTAAAACCTCTGAAAATTCACAGTTCACACATGCTCAGTGGACAGCTGTTAGAGTTTGGAGGTAAATTCTCTGAAGATTCTGTCTAAAGTGAGAATAATCCAATACAGGGCTGTGAAGACCACTGGCAAAGTGTCTCATCCCTGTCTAGTGCCTGGTCCACATAAAAAATAATAGTCTACTTCTGCTAGCAGTTACTCTGTTAACTTAAGTGGGAGAGGCCTATCAGGTCGATATATAGGTCCGAACCCTGTTGATGACCCAAGTTGAGAGTCAGTATGATTCCACATGATAGAGTTTTTTTAAAGTAGGAAATTACATTTAAATAAACTACATTAATAGAACATTAAGGTCTTTAATTACATAACCACATCCTACTTTTTTCACAGAATGCATGGTCCTCAGGGAATGAATCGATGTCATGTAGTGAATTAAGCTGCTGTCTGTAGGACCCTGCCTCATTTGTCACAGAAGTTGGAGGTGTGTAATCAATGAGACAAGGGACTGCAGGAAGAGAGAGGATGGTCTTATGATTAAGGTTTTGTCCTTGCATCAGCCACAGAGTTTCCATGTGATACTGGGCAAATCATTTAAACTAAAATGTTCACAGCTGGCCACTAATAGTGTGTTCCTCATTTTCTGGGTGCCAAACATGAGAACTCTGGGGGCTGATTTACAGAAGAGCTGAGCACTCACAGCTGCAAATGAAGTCACTGGGAGGTGTGCTTTGAACATATAGTGCTATATAATGCTAAATACTGGGGAAAATCAGGTTCTAGGTTTCTCAAATTGGGCACCCAAAATTAGTGGAAACTTTTGGCCTTTAATCTCTCTGCCTCATTTCCTCATCTGTAAATTGGAGATAATACTACCCCCTCACCTCACAGAGGTACTATGAAGATAAATTAATTGTTTGTGAAGCACTCAGATACTATAGCAATAACCACTATAAAAAAAGCTCATGAGGAAGTGAGTAATTCTGTATTCAGAGCAGGGTTTGAATAGTGTGCAGTAAATAAGGCGTGGGGCCACACATGGAACTATGAAGATAAAAATATATAGAATAGCAGCTCATTCAGTAAGCACTGTCCAAACTGCGCAATGAATGAAGCAGGTGTCCTGTGGAAAAAATAGCAGGTGATCATGGTAATTAAAGACTGCATTATAATGCAGACACATGAGGGGGCCAAATTAAGGTTGCATTGGCTTACTATTGCTTTTTCAGGTAAGCAATTGCTTTAGTTGCCATAGAGATGTGAGATGAGCGCAAGTGAGAGAAGCAGTGTCTGCAGAAAAGTCTCTCTGTTCAATAAGACATAGTCCACGCTATGAAAAACTTGAAAAAAATCTTGCTCAGTATTACTAATTACTTTGCATCTGTTTATCTCTGTTGCATTTTTCTAGAAGTGGTAATGTGTGTATAGCAGGAAGGGATTAAATGAGGGAAAACAAATTAGTATTAAAAGGAAAGAAGACTGCGAACATTTTCTATTCAGCTTATTTACCTTATTTCATCTCAGAAGAACTAGTTAAATGGCATGGTACTTTGGATAGTAATTTATCCATTGTTGGACCAGAGACAGATCTGGTCCCCCTTTCTTTTATTTTTGTTTTTAACCACAATTCACTGATTTACTGTGTCCATGATCTAAAAACAGGCAACTGAACAACTCTTCCACTCTACTTTCCTCCCCTATTCCTTTCCTCTTATCTCTTTGTGATCAGTTTATTTTCCTTCCTCCCAACTTTCCCTCCTATTTTAGCATTGTGGGTTGCAGTCATAATGCCTTCATTTTTCAGCACTACATTTACATCTTTGAACAGATTTCTCTTTTTGGTTTGTATAACAACCTCTGGCTTAGTAAATTGGGCTGATCCTTGGCTAACTGATGACTTTAAATAAAACAAACTTTGCGAGAATTACATGCTCAGTGAGTGATTTAAAATATAGGCAGGCATTTTTACACGCCTCATTCCTGAGGTGCAGTAACTGTCCTACTCCTGGGCAATGTCTACTTCAGCAGAGACTACTATTCAGTATATTGAATTATGCTATATTTTGTGGTGGTTTTCTAATGCGATATCCTTTTGATACTAATCTGAAATTGCCAAAATATTTATGACCTAATTTAGTTTTGAATGGAGCTCTCCAGAGATGAAAGGTTTGTGCATAGAACAATGGCACTATTTAGCTCTAGCTAATATTCCTGATAATTACACACACTTTATCGGATGTATATTTTTTAGGTCAAGGTTTTAGTTATCCCCTATGGTCGTGGAAATCCTTTTCCTATTTTCTCACTTCATATACCCCAGTTAAATTTCATCTTTGATGCTTCTAATTCTTTAAGTTTACTCATTTTCATGAACAGATTTGTTATGTATCATGCTCATTAATCCAGAACAGATGGTGTCCCCCAATCCCCACAACCTGCCAATCAGGCTTATGCAGCCAATCGCCACACAGGATTTTTCACACATTAAGCAAATCTTCAGACAGCCTCTCTAATTTTTCCATTCTCTATCTTATATGCAAGAAGGTCCTTCTCTGTCTCTGAGCAGAAAGGATGGGGAGACTTCATCAAAAAGAAAGCTAAATTTGGAGAATGGGTGTACATCATCTAGGACGTCACCTTGCAGTCCACCATGAAAATACAAGATAAGTGGGGAAAAAAGAGGAATTTGTGTTCGATAAGAACAGGAGTGTTTAATTCAGAGCTTTAAGAAGTATTGTCAGGAAGAGTTTGAACCAAAATTTAACTTTTGTAAAAATAAGCTTTAACAAAAGCTAAAGACCAACAGAACTGTTTAAATTAATTTCTTTTAAAGCTTCCAATGGAAACCTTTTATAAAACAAAAGTATATTTCCCCCTGCAGCGTTTGTAACCAACACATTGCAGTATTATGCTTGTGCAGCATAAGAACCTGAGCATGTGATAAAATGACTTATAGAAACTATGTGGTAAAACAGGCTGAGAGAAACATAAAACTTAAACAGTACAGTGAAAAGTAAAGAGGATGTTTAACTTTTTCTCCCTTTAAAAAGAAAAACTGGAGGAGTTTTTTGTAATACACTAAGGAATTTTTGTCTCACATTATTTTAAGGTGAACAGATTTTTAAATACACTTCTAGCAAAATTAACAAAGCAATAAAACCTAAGATAAAGGACATGGCTTTCATATAAAGAGCTTTATATCCATAAATCTCAAATCAATTTACAGAGGAAAGTATCATCTCCATTTAACAGGTGGGAAAATGGAGACAGAGAAGAAGGGATGGGCCCAAGGTCACAAAGCAGGCCAGTGGAAGAAGCCAATTTGCAATCTACATTCTCAGACTCTCCAGTCCAGTAGCCTAATCACTGGACCACATTAAAGTATTATTAGACGAAATAAAATAATTTGTTAGCAAAGTTCTTCTGTAGTAAAGGAGAAGCTTGGATTAAAAAAAACAGTAAACACCACCAACCCCCCAGGCATGTACTCGGGCTGCTAGCCCTAGCCTCCATGGCTGCACTGCTATGTTTAGCCCACTGAGATTGAGCAGAACTAGTGCATTTATGTCTACCCAAGTTGAGAATTATACCTCCCAGCTATTGTGCAGACATACCTTATAAGACAAAGAAAAAAGATCATGTGGGATATCAAAT